ATCATCATTAAAGAAGAAAATTTCAAATGGCATTTAGAGGCTTTTGCATCTGAACTCTTCATATATAATTAACCCTACATGCAGAGCTTTACTGGCATTTGATTGGATGACAAACGTCCAATCTCATGGACTGCAGGCTTTAAACTAGGTGAAATGCTCCAGAAGTTAAAAAAGGGGGCTGACATCAGTGATGTCCATTGTAATGGACACAGCAGGATTCGCAAACCGCTTGCTCTTGAAAGATGGTGATCAAAATACTTAGTTTTGAGTTTTGAAAATTGGGTTGATCTCCCGCTAACTCACATTATTACTGTCTTACTGAAATACTTCTGTTGATCAGCTGTGGCCCACCATTACCTAAAGCTGTGTCTAGTAATACTAACCTTTATGTTACATCAGTTACTCACGCTTGAGCTCGGCTAATATATGCGATGTTATTGATACAGTTTCCACATGTTCACCGCAATAAATTGGAAAAATACTCTGTAAATAAATAAGCACAAGTAAAATATTACGTTTGTTAATGGACATGGACTTGTTAAGGCTGATGGTGAGGAGTTACAGTTGCAACATCTCATAATGTTCCTCACACTGAGTAGTGTATCACTGAGAAGCGTCCTGCTCGAGTCGTCCCTGTGGTGGGTTGAATAACAAGCTCTTCCAATGTTTCATCATCACACTCGCGGTCGGATTGATAGTAAAATCAACATCATTGTTCAGTTCACGAGGAAGCCTCAAAGACACACTGAGCCGATAGGGTTATGGCAATGGGCGTTTTTGTTTGTCACATGCACGCAGTACGAGGTCAACCAATCACAATAGACTGAGCTGTCTGGCCAATCAGAGGCATTTAGAGAGATTTAAAGAGATTGATTCATCTGACGAGTCGTTTGAGAATCATTGAAAATGTGGTGATGTGCAAATGTATATGGTGATAAAATTTTTTGTCCTGTGATGCATGTAAACCTGTTGTAGGAGACTCCAAAACAACATTAGGAAACTTTAAAATAGCATAATCGGGGCACTTTAAGGGAAGAGCTTCAATTCTCGCTGGTTTTCACGGAGCAGTTTGAGTCTTTTTCGAGAGCAAACGATTCAGCGCACTGGAAGTGTTCCGCGATCGGTCGACTCCCTGATCAGTGTGCTGGGAGCTGATTGCACTCTTAGTTCAGTTCATGAAGCTCTCACCTACAGGCTTATGATCTAAATCAAGTGTGTTAAATGGGTACACGAGATCATTGCTTTTTGGTACACCAATGTGTGTGCTATTTATGGAAGGTGGATCGTAAAAGTGAGCCGCAGAAAAGCACAGTGATCTAGACAGCAGACGGTGTGGTGTGGAACGGTTCACTCAGAGGGGAGGATTGCAGTTCACACTCGATACACGACCGCTCTGAGGCTCAGGCACGAGGCTGCTGTGACCGGGGTAGTGTTGTGCCAATCTGCAGCTGAACCCCACATAGAGTAACCCTGCTGGGTCAGGACACGTTTCGCTCGCCCTTCCTGTGATTCACTGAAGTTTGCCTTCCCAACTTCCCCGCTGGTTTCCTTCAAGTTTTCTTGGACATGACCAATATGTCTTTCTTTGGACTTTCAGTACACACACACACACACAGGTCTGGTTCGCTATCTTTGTGGGGATTCTCATTAGGTGTAATGATTTTTATACGGTACAAAATATATTTTCTATTCCCTAACCCAAACCCTACTCCTAAACCACACACAAAACTTTAAACATTTTTATTTAAATTTACAGTTATTCATTTAGCTATGGAAGCTTGTTTCCGCCACTGAATAAAAAAATTATAATAATAATTGTGATTTTATCTCACAATTGAGTGTTATAAAGTCAGAATTGCGAGATATAAAAAGTCAGAATTGCGTGATATAAAGTCACAATTCTGAGAAAGAAAGACAGAAGTGCGACTTTTTATCTCACAATTTTGCCTTTTTTTTTCTCACAATTGCGAGTTATCAGGCTAATTCTAAGGGGAAGAAAAGACTTTTTTCCCCCTCAGTATAGTTTAAATCTCACAATTCTGACTTTATATCATGCATTTTTGACTTTATAACACGCAATTGCGACTTTATATCACGCAATTATGAGTTTATATCTCGCAATTCTGACTTTACATCTCGCAATTCTGAGAAATACAGTCAGAATTGTGTGATAAAAAGATCGCAATTACCTTTTTAACATTTCATTCTGTGGCGGAAACAAGCTTCCATATTTAGCTGACGCTTTTATCCAAAGCGACTTACAATTGCTATATATGTCAGAGGTCGCACGCCTCTGGACCAACTAGGGGTTAAGTGTCTTGCTCAGGGACACATTGGTGTCTCACAGTGGATTTGAACCCAGGTCTCTCACACCAAAGGCATGTGACTTATCCACTGCGCCATCACCACCCCATCATATTAAAAAATATATAATTTAGAATGCCTATTAATCCATTTCACTTCTGGGGAATCTGGCTAGTCTCCCCAATGTAGGTGATCTCAGGTTTTACTATGCTTGTGAGGAAATTTGGTCCACACAACGTAATGTAAACTAGTACACACACACACACATACCTCTGCAGGCTCAAACAGATGGATTTTTTCAATGGGCCTCCCTTTCTCCAACTGAACAACTTGGCAGTTTCCATGAGGAACAGGGTGAGAGCCAACATTCCCAAAGCCGCTCTCGCCCTGACCTGGACTTCATAAATTTCAGCATTGTCTTTATCACCATCAAAGTCATTACATTTCCCATTAGAACACTTGCCAGCCATGTCACAACCAACATTAAAATTATAAATGGGATCAGAAATAGATTAAACTGAGGGAGGAAAACGGATGCATATTTCTTTTTTGCAGTTCTTTTCCACTCCTAAAAATGTGCTCGCCATACCCGGAGAACAAGAGGTCAAATGTCTCTTCTGCTCAGCATCTGGTGTTTCTATGTTATTATCTTTGACAATGAAACTCACAGTATAACGGATAGATCGTGAGAGAGAACATTGACTTCCTGGTAACACTTTACAATAACGTTCCGTTCCAATAGTTAACATTAAACTACATTAGTTAACATGAACTAATTTACAATGAAAAATACTTCTAAAACATTTATTTATCTTACTGTTAATTTCAACATTCACTAATACATTATTAAAAGTATATGTTAATCTTGTGATTTCTTGACATGAAATTAACAAAAAATGAACAGTTGCATTTTTATTAACAAATATTGAGCATTGTTAGTTAATCCACATAAAGGGACCTTATTGAAAAATGTTCCTGCACTCTTTTTGCTTTACACATTTCACTTAATCTCTACAGATTGTAGCTGTATTTTGTATTTCATTAAAGTTGTTGTATTCACTAAAAGATTAAGATAAATAAAACAGACAATGACTTTAATACACATTCTCTATTATGGTTTCAATTTAAACTCAAATGTGTATTCTGTCGTTTTACTTTAGTGTGGTTTACTTGGTTCGTTTAGTCTGGAACAACAACACAAAAAGCAATATAATTAAAATTTAGCACTGGATCGCTTAGCGTTAACATGGGCATTTTAAAGGGTCAATCCACCTGTTAGAAACCCAGTTATACTATTGAATGGTCGTGCAACACGCTCTAATTTCCCCCTGAGACGAGAGAAATCTGCTATTTACCTTTTTCACTTCCTCCTACAATGACGCAAAAATCGTCATTTTACGTCATTGTAGGAGGAAGTGTAAGAGAGGGGGATTTCTGGAAAAACTACAAGCACAAGATCTCACCTCTTCAAACCCACCTATAGGGGTTTGGACCTAATGCGCTAACAGACCTATCACAGATCAGTGCCAGTGCGTTTGATTTCACTGGGACGAGTGAAACGGCGATTGTTTTGGGGGCCCTGAAAACACAAGCTTTTGAAAACAATGCCTAAACGACAAAAACTTGAATCGTGAAAACGGTAACGTCATGCGCCATGAGTATTACATGTTCATGCAAGAGCATTACGCGTTCGCAGGGTGTTTCTTGACAAAGTGATATCGCCAACTACTCACCTTAGACAATTTTTAAGGTGAAGATCCCAGTTCACATGGATCCTCTAAAATGACTGATTTAAAGGGTTAGTTCCCCCAAATGCTGTCAGTAATGACTCCCCTTCATGTTGTTCAACCCACATAAGACTTTCGTTCATCTTCAGAACACAAATTAAGATATTTCTGTTTAAATCTGAGAGCTGGATCACTCCTCCATAGGTTTCTAAGGGATCGAAACTTGCCGGCCCAAAAAAGTTATTAAAGACATTGTTAAAATAGTCCGAGTGACTACAGTGGCTCAAGTTTATCAAGCGACAAGAATACTTTTTGTGCGCAAAAAAACAAACAAAATTAATTGAGTGAGTGAGTTCACGTAATATTTTTGGGGGGGAAATTAAACATTTGATCAAACTTTGATAATTGGTTTAATCCTCTAACTGAGAAGATGAAACTACCTACCCTATCTCACGACCATTTCGTACGAAATGAATTCGACGAACGATTAAAAAGTGTCTAATTCTTACGACCTCACTCGTGCGATTTGTCTAAACCCATGTGATGGGTAGGTTTAGGGGCGGGGTAAGGGGTAGGTCATTCGTACGAATTCATACGAATGGGCCAATTCGTAAAATATGTACGATTTAGCAAAATTACCCTTTTTAATCATTCGTCAAATTCGTACGACTTGGACGTGAGATCGGGTTGAAACTACATACAAGTCTATACTTATAGAGTCCAAGTATTATGTATGTTATCGTCTCTGACCACTGCGTGAAAAGAGCTGTAATCGGGCATGTAAAATGGGTGGGATGGGAGCCTCTCCCAGGCTGAGGCTTTTACTGAGATTTATATGTATTTATACTTACTCTTCTTTTTCTTTGTCTAATCTATACAGTTAAATAGTTGTAGCCTTGGTACATTCTCTTGTGACTTACCTTTAACAGCAGCAGGATCTACGTCCAATACAGCCACTAAAAAGATTGAGGTTATGACCTCAAGGTTGTGGGGGTAGGATAGACTGTGAAGCAGTAATTAAAGAAGGTTGATTAAAAATATAATTTAGAAGAAAAGACTGTTATGAAAGAATAGTTTTAAAGATATACCTTGTCTGTGGGTCATATTTGTGTATGTTGTTTTCCCCATTGTGCAATCTCCATACAGCTTCCTGTAAAAATCCAACATATATGAGAGCTCATTTCGAATACATTTATAAATAAAGCACACATGGTCAGTGTGATGGTGTGATGGTCAGAAAACAACTTACCGCAACAGAATTATTCCCAGCTCTCTTTAATTTCTTTGAAGCAGGCTCCTCTTTTGCCTCTTTGAGCTCATTGATGTCAGCCTCCATCTTATCCAACCTCAATATAGGGGCAAACTTGAGCTGCCAGTCCCAAAACAAATTAGCATTTAAAAAGCCAAGCCATCAACTAACAGTTCCTGTTTTCAGGCCTTTACAGGCATTTACAGGTACGCATAACAAAGTTGCAAAGATCCCTGCCAAACAGCACATTTAGCGGGCGTTTTCATTGTCCGAATTCTCCCGTATACACACCTTTTGACGCAGTGGACAATAATATAAACTATTTAAAATGTTATAATTTTCATTGAATGGTTGAGCACTTACAGTGTTTTGAAAATAAATGGGTGAAACACTTACTGTAAACAAAATGAAGAAACTTTTTATTGAATATAGATTTGATATGTACAGAGAAGCTTTGTGTACATTTTGACACATCAGGTAAAAACTTTGTGTAAAAACCATTTTCACTGCATACAGGAATCGAACACCATAGTACCTATGAGGTGGACAACAAAATGTCATACAAATACATTAAAATGTGCAGACGACTCTCAGCTTTCTTTAAACGATTAAAACAAATGCTGTATGATCAAAGTCAAAAGATAATAATAATTTCATTTTAAAAATATGTGCATTTGGCGACACGTTCAACTTTTTTAACATACAAAAACCTCCCTCATCACAGACACTTCCCATCGAAAACATCTTATGTATACAATTTGATTTATAATAGTAGATAAGCAGCCAGCACCTTAAAAAAAAAAAAAAAAAAAAAAAACGCTGTGATTCTGGAAATGTCTTCTCAGTTAGTAGATACAATACTAGAAGCACATCATGTCGTACCACAGAACCCATAACAATCTTGGGAGGAAGTACCGAACCTTTTCTCAGGGAATATACCGAACGTTTTCCACGATGAATGGATGCGAGACCGAGAGAGACGCCAAGCGGACTCGCTTTAAGAGACTTGGAGGACAGAGAGTACATTGGTCAATGGACTTGGCTTTCCTTTTTGTGAGAGCTTATTAGGCTCTTTTAGCTTTAGCTCTGAAAAATGTGGCCAAGTGTTTCATGTTCCTGCCAAAATACAGTTCATAGACAAGAGAGAGTCAGGTTACAGGCACTGGTGATACACAATCCCATGCAAAACCCACACATGCATGCAAATACCAAAAAATATAGAGAGCACATAAAAGCCACATGACATTTGTTAGAGTGGTTTAGATTTCTGAATGAACAGTTAAAAGACAGCTAGATTTAAAGGGATAGCCACTGAAAAATAGTCACATTAAAATAGACAGCCTCAAGCTGTAATATAAAACAACATACCAATTTTATCGTTGTGCAGAAGTACACAACTTTTACTTTACTTTTTTGTCCTTTTCAGAGCTTGACAGCTCCTTTTATGAGAAAAGTGTGAACTGCACAAAAAGCAAGTCTGACATGTTAGGAACGACATGAGGGAAAAAAAGACGACACGTTTTCATTACTAGGTGAACTTCTCCTTTAAACAGGTTCTCGACCCTATCCGTGGCTACTGCGGTGTGAGCTGTAACCTGAGCTTTGTTGTGTTATAGCGGGACACGTGCGCGAGCAACTGCCCATTAACCTGTGCGATAAAACTAAAGTGCTGAACAGAACTGCTCTCCGCCTGAGCCGGCGAAACCAAAGACGCTTCGTGAGGCAAAGGTCAGTCACACCCACATCTACTGGGTCTAAAACTAATGCACACACACACACACACATTGGGTTGCCATGTTTTATGGGGACTTTCTATAGCATAATGATTTTTATTCCGTACAAACTTTATATTCTCTCACCTTACACTAACTTTGCCCATCACAGAAAACTTTCTGCATTTTTACATTTTCAAAATACCTCACTTAGTCTGATTTAAGGCTTGTTCACACCGGGACAAATTTCGCGTCCGTTATTTGCCACTGTTTAACGCCTCATGACTAGGGTTGGGTATCGAGAATCGAGTATCGATTGGAACCGGGACTAACTTTTCGTTTTTCCCTGAATCGTTCAAAAGTTAAAATTTCAATTCCTAGTTTCGATATTCACAGTTTGCCGAGCGGAAGAAGAAACGAGGAAGCGTCTACCGGAAGTGTTGGCATAACCGCGCGAGTCGAACATGAGTAGCTTACGTCGGCGGTCCAAAGTGTGGCTTCACTTTTCTAAAAAATAACGAAATCTCTGCAAAATGCAAAATTTGTGACAGAAGGAGTATTTCCTTCAGAAAGACCGTTGGTTAGCAAGGTTAGTTAAACTTTTTTGACCCTGCTTCTTAAAAGAATCGGAATCAAGAATCGTTAGGAACTGGAATCGAAACAAATAATCGGAATCGGAATCAGAATCGTTCAAATTCAAACGATACCCAACCCTACTCATGACTAAACAAAGGGTGTCAATGTGAGTGTGCACACCGACGCGTAAAAGCGTCATTAAAAAAAAAAAAAAAAAACGCCTCGGGTTCGTTTTTTTTAGTTTGACGCGCTGCGTCAAAAACTATCCGACCAATGAGATTGCCACTTTTGCTCACGTGTTTGGAGCTTCCGAAGTTACAGTAAAACACAACTTGGGGGCGCTCAAACACAAAACAGCCTTGCTGAGCACACATATGCAACGGCGAAGAAGATATACGCCAAGTAGCGTCGCTGTCTACACTGCGAGGAAGATGTGAGGCAAGATGAAGGTAGAGCTGCTGGTCTCGTTGGTGTTAGAACATAAAGAACTACGTGACAAACGCGACAGCGACTATAAACATCTTGATAAAAGAAAACTGTTATGGAGTGGTATTGGAGAGCAAATTGGCGCCATTTAATGTCAGGGAATGAATTTGCATGTTCACTCAGCTCATCGTCGATTCATCGAAAATCGCTTGGGTGTGACCACAAAAAATGCGTTGAAAAATGCTGACGAATAACGCACGCTGATATTCGTCCCGGTGTGTACGGGCATTTATAAGCGGTTTTCCTCATGGGGACCAAAATGGCCCCTCAAGAACTTTGGATATTTCCATCTTTGTGTCCCCGTAACGTAGGGTTTACCAAAAGAGAGACACACACACCCTGGAAGTCACAAGAATACAGTCTTGATTGGAAGTATAGTCAACATGAATTCAAAATACACACTATTTACTTTCTTAATACATGTTCCTGGTGTTATTATGCAATATTCATCTGTGAACGTTATTCATAACACATTCACAACATTTTGTAATCTTTCATAAAAATCTAAAAAGCTGCTCCGCCTTTAAAACGATTTTCCATTGTGGATGACATCATCAATCCCTCTTATTTGAAAGCCCCTCCCCTTCCAATCACAATTATATAGTGAAAACATTTCACTGATTCCTGATGAATAAAATTATTTTTGATCTCACTGAATAGCCATTTCGTGTTGCATTTAAAGGTGCAGTATGGCATTTCTGTTCTATTAGTAGCACCGAACCATGTTTGCTATTATTCTTCAAAAAGTATTTTATCAAACTAAAAATATATATTTTTAAAAATGACCTAGTTTTTAATGAATTCCCTCATTCCTGGTATGGGATGTATTGCAGTAAGAAGGGGGAGAGTTGTACATGTACTGGCTTATTAGTGAAGGAACAGAGACACTAACTGGAGGAAAGAGCAGAAGAATCAATTATAAAGTGGGTGGAGATGGAAGGCGTCACATGAGGAGCAATTGAGAAATATGACGGGTTAATGGGGTTTTCCGTAGCAGAGAGTTGGAGGGTTGTGGGGTCATAACCTTTTCACACTCTATTAGCTGAGTTCAGCTACTCTGCTGTAGTACATGGGCTAAAACACACACACACACACACACACACACACACTTATAACATTCTCATTAGGGTAACGCAACAGCCTCATTTTCAGAGCTATGATGTAAAAATTATGATATATTTAAGTTGTAAAGTATTGATAGATTATAGATATTTGCACTGGATTCATGCTGAATTTAATAAAATTAAATATAAATTGCATTAACTTAATGACAGTCTTTCGGAGAAACCTGAATTATGTAAATTTTTGGTAAAATTAATTTTCATGAATGCCCCGCACATTACATTCAGAGGAAACAACAAGATGTTGTGGCCACCAATTTAGAATTTGTTATTATATATAGTGGCCTCAACTTATCTAAATTTAAAAAAGGAACAACTTGGTACAAACTATTTTACTAAATTCGATTGAACTAAAATAAGGGAACAAAATTATTAAAACTAAGTCAAAAATTAGAAAACTTTTTTTTTTTCAGTTTTACTCGACGTGTAATAAAAACTGGAATAAGAATTTGTTCAGTTGTGGGAACAAATTCTTATTCTAATTCTTATTCCACTTCATGTGAAACAGTAACATTTTTCATAGACCTAGAAACAAGCTAAATATTGCATATATTTTTCTTTGATTCTGTGGTGCAATATGACCCAGAAATGTTCCTGACAGGTGTAGTGAAATTCAGTTCTCACAAAAAACCATGATATGTAGGGCACGATATGCTGGAAACAGCCATGCATCGACTGTCACGTGATTGTCAAGAGAACCTAGTGGCGTAACGTCAACGAATTCAGTACAAACACATACAAGTTTGTCAAAAGCAGGGATGGGAGATGGATATTCCATAAAGATTTTCAGTGTGTACATACTAGAGAACGGAAAAACAAATCGGAAAAAAAACATCCAAAACCAATTACTCAGAATCCTCCATCAGTCTCCATATTATGTCTCTTTCCATTCAACGTTATTGCCGTAATACAGTTTTTCCTACAGTTTTGATCTCTCGTCTCAAGAGTAGAAGGGACGGCCCTTCTCAGGGGTCTGTAGACGGTTAAGCCGGGCGAGTTGGGTGGGCGATGGTGGCACATCTTGTCGGTAGGGACCTTTGGGTGGTGTAGGGACTGGGGTTTGGATTGGGGCCGGTGTTTCCTCCATCGTAGGCAGCTTGGTTTTCGCCTCTTGCTCCTTTCGTCTCTGTTCCTGTCTCAGGAGCTCTTGGGTCTCCAGGAGTACGCGAGCGTTCATGCCCGTGGTGGCGGCGCCCAGGTAGCCATTGGCAGTGCGGGATCCCTGGTAGCTGGAGTAGCGCGGGTTTTCTTTGGCGGTCTGAAAGACATTGCCGGGAGGATAGACTTTATCCCAAGAGTCTTGAGACACGGTGCTAGGGTTTTTACGTGGTTGTCTGAGGAAGACAGAAAGAAGGGTCAAAAACAGACACGGTAAAAAAAGTCACACAGTGTCCTAATCAGACTAGTGTTGTCTAAAGTACCGATTTCGGTACTGAAATTTAAAAAAAAAATGACTATACAAGAATTTCCCTCTGGCATTTTGAGCGCTAGCATTCTTAAACACTTCTGATTGGCCATTGTGTTCACACGCTCAATATACTGTATATGTCTGTGATTGGCTACAATGATCAACACTTCAGACACATGTTGTCTTCAATGAGTGCTGACACAGATTCACAAGGGAGCATTTGAAAGCAGGTGTCTATCAGCGGATCCGTCTATCAGTAGATATATTGCTTACTTATATTAACACCAGAGGTGTTTAAGAATCCGTTAAACAGCGCTCAAAATGCTAGAGGCAAATGCTGGTATCGTCACAACACTAAATTGGATGCACTAGAATCCCGCAACACATGATTTTTTGTCCTAACAAGTCATGTCGATAATAAGCTCCAACGGTTTCTATTTCTGTGACGTCATGGCTGGAAAAACAACGCAATGATAATTATTGACTATTTGGTTTATTTAATGTTAAAAGCATCTAATATGAGTTTGAAATATCAATTTGCGTGATCTTGAAAATAAACACCATTGAAATTAAACAAAAGTGTATTCCATGACATAGATCGTTTCAGTCTCTCAGTAAGTATTTTTGATGTTGTTAAAATGGTTTGATTTACATTAATTTGATTATTCATTTCGAGAGACTCCGCCCACATGCCCTTATGATTGGATGTGTTTTTTTGATTGATTTTTGTCGTGTCTCGTAGTCATGTTGCGTCTGGTTAAAGGGGTCATAAATTGTTTTTATATCGTTGTCTGAGGTCATCTTGTGACGTTCGCTTGGTTTTTACATTAAAAAACATCAAAATAAATAAGTAATAGGCTATTTTCTACCCTAGTTTTGAGTCTAGCTGAAAAACGCTCGGTTTTTATGGGTGTCTCACATTGAAGACTTGGAAGTAAACGCCCACTGCTGTGAGTGGATAACAGTTTTGCATATTATAATGAGTTTCACTCTCGACACGGTTTGTCATAACGAGGTAGGCATCTATGTTCTTTAGCTATGCGTGTAATGCGTGAATCGGGGGGCGGGGCTAAACCGGCCGGCGTTGATCTTCTGTTTTATCGTCTTTGACGTCATAGTTTCCCACTTTGAAAAACGAGTCATTTGCTGAGCCTGGTGTCAATAAAAGCTTTTATTGGACTAACAAGGACGTTTTCAGGTCTGAAACTTACAGGATATTCTTATAATATGATGACCTCTTAGATGTCAAAAGCTCAAGGAAAATTTGATTTCTCAGTTCATCACCCCTTTAAGACCTGCATCAAATCTAGAGTCCAGATTATTACAGAGACTCATCATAACAACCAGCTACAACATGCTAGAATTGTGGTGGCGAGTTGTCCAAGACCAGCGGCCCTCACATTTTCTTCAGAAAATGTAAAAACCCCTGTTAAACACTCTTTGAGGCCCGCTAGTGTACTTAACATCAAGAGAGGAAATAACAGGTTCCTTCAACGTCCATCCATACCGGCCAATCAACAACTAGACATTTGACTGACTGCCAGGGTGAGATGACTTTCTTGCCTAAAGGAATAGGGGATGAAATATCAAACCTACAAATTTCTTTGTCAACGTAGCGGCCATTGTAAGCGGTGTCCACTCAGACTCTCGCCGTCTTCTCTTTGCTCCGTTATTAGGATCCATTAAGTGGGAATGTGAAGTGGCTAACGTGCCACATCCCTATGCCTCATGGCTAAATGAAGGCCCGCTCACACCTCACTGGCCTTGCAATCTTAAAAGCGTGTGTGTGCACCACTTCTGTTGGGATTTCACACATCGGCTCACACAAGAGAGGAGTGCTTTCAAAAACAGGCACAAAAATGGTCTAGTTTCGTCCAGAATTCAGAATGTGATGGTGAAATAAGGGTTTTTTTACAGCTTTTTTTTTGTCACTAGCAAGATGCTAGTGCGTTCTGGGTCACTGTTAGATGATCGTTTACTGGCCAAAGTCTAAAAAAGCCCAAATATCTGTTATTATGGATGCTAGAAATGGCTTGGATCCCAATTACAATGTAAGTTGCCAGTTTTATTGATTGCTATAGGCGACAAAGAAAAGTAATAACACACCTCTCCTCAATAAGCCACATGATTTGAAGTATCATACATGTCTTTCAAAGAAATGGTCTGTAACAAATTACACACCAAGGTTTATAGTTCAAGGTTTCGAACAAGCACTTAACGCTATATGAACAAATAGTGATTCTTGCCTTAGGATGCACCACTGCATCTGTAGTGTGCACATACTACAGATCACACACCTGGTGTGCATCACAGTTTATCAAAAGGACAACAGATTTACACACAGAGAACAATATTATCTCTACACCTTGAGTAATGTTTTCAGTTTGCTAACAGAAAGCAGAACGTGAGGCTGGAATGCGAGACCCGAATCTTATCTCTGCGACTGAGTGTTGCCGCATTATAACGTGCAGCTGTTGCATGAAGTTGCTCGCTGTTTCACATGACTTGCATTACTGCTAATCAGCGTACACTTCACTTATCTGTCTTACTTTCTGTTCCTCCCTTTCTGTCTCTCTAATCCACCTCCCAAAACAGAATCCCTTCATTAGCCAAGTGCTAAATCTGAACCCACGGGGTAAACACACAGTTAAAGCTTGCTTATAATCCATGCAACTGTTGATCAATCCAAGCTGCTTTATGATTGGTGGAGCGTAAGTCCTTGCATTGCTAATGAGCGAGCATCTTGGCCGGGACCTCCAGAGGACAGGGGTCATTTCACACCAGCTTGACCCTGCTTGACCGACGCTATGAGATTATGGGTGGAATGTGCATCAAAGGTCCGCCAGTCGTGCCGAGTTTCCCCAGGGAAAGTGTCAAAGCTCCGTCAGGATCTAGTCGGCGGATTCCTTATAATAAAGCCGGCGTTTTCGTCTGAAGTTCACTCAATATAGACGACGACATTGAAGATGCTTAAGGCGGTGAGAAATAGTGGAAGCTGATTGGTTGAATTGATTAACTGTCATTATGTCCACGTAGTGTGGAGTAGTGAATGTCGACCTCTCTATCGACCCTAGGACTTTCTCTACTCTCTTGGGAATGAGCGAAGAAAAAAAAAAGGAGAAGAACGATGGATGGAAGTGGGATTTTTGATGCAAGGCCCCCCTCCTTTCTGCAGTGTGTTCTGGGTTTTGTCATTGCTTGAGGGAGACTAATTCTGTAATTGTACATATCCTGGTTACACCGTTCTCAAAGCCAATAAAAACAAGCACCAAGCATGTAGGTTAGACCACACACACACACACACACAGTTCCCAATAATTCCTTGTCAAAATCCCAGTAGACCATCTTATACTTTAAAAAGAATGCATTGTGTATGTGTATATTCTGTTTACAAGGTAACCATTACCAAAGTACCAATTTATTTAAAAACAAACTTTTTTGACTAGTTTTTTTGCAATTCTGGTGCCACATTATTTGCACTGTTTAAACTTGAGCATGTAACTTGCAATTTCTACTGCAACAATTGTTTAGTTTGTCTATTCAACAAAGTGGTCTTCTTCTTCAGGCGTTGCTATAGTTATCATGGTGTGTTTCCAGCATCTTCTGAAAAGGTTTCTAAGGTGTTGCTAGGTGTTTTTTAGTGTGTTGCTATGCAGTTTTGGGGATCCTCTGAGGGGTTTCGTTGGTGTTGTTAGGTTATTATTAGGGTGTTCTTGGTGTTTTTGGCAGACAAAATGGGGAACTATATCATATTGAGACTGACTTCTGAAGCTTGAATGTCAACCTTGTTGTCTTGTTGGCTAAAATCCACTCAGACCACCTTAGCCAGCATCTACAACATGACTGCATTGTGAAGGTGACTTTTGAGTTGGTACATTTTCATCAGAAAACATAAAGTTATGTTTTCCTGCTGTGCTGTAAATAAAATGTACTGAAATATTGAGTGAAACTTTATCAGCACCGCCTGCAGCCCCCACCACTTTTAGTTAAGTATGTAAAGCTCCAATGCGGGAATTTTTTCTTCTTATGTCTGTTGGCTGGATGCTTTGCATGAACCAAAGCAGATTAAGAAGATACCAATGCCTGCAAGTAGAAACGCTGATATCAAACTCAGCCCGCGGGCAACAGTCTAAGCTTTATTGACATTTATGACAAATATGCAAAGGGGAGAGGAAAGAGAGAAAGTGAAGAGAGAAGATAAAACAGATGAGGGATTGGGCCGATATCCATCCAAAAAAAAGGGAGGGGGGGGGGGGGGCTATAGATTGCAGTTGCCAACATAAACTTCCCTCAACAAACAGGTTCTCTCGGGCTGATCTTTATTAGGTTTAGGAGGGGCACATTCTCTCGGCCTGTGAGCATGAAGACAGACGTTGTTGCTGTTCGGAGGGCTTAGAGCGAAGACAGAACCGACCACATGACAATGGCATGACTACAGTGAGAAACACCACTGAGGTCAGAGGGAGTGTGGGAGACATGCACACGCATATTTGGTTTATGGCTAATTTATTAGCATGCATTTATTAAACTATTACCTTTCACTGCTTTGCTCTAGTCGTTCCGACAACGCAAGTGTGCTCATATTTGTCTCATCCCAAGGCGTCATGTACTGACGCTTTTGCCAATGCGTATCCAACCATTTGGATGTATACGCAAACACTGAAACTGTCTTTTGGACCTTGAACTGTCCATTATATGGAGAAAATTCTGGAATGTTTTCATAAAAAACTTTAATTTATTTTCGACTGAAGAAAGAATTACATGGATATCTTGGATGACATGGGGGTGAGTAAATTATCAGCAAAAGTTTTTTTTTTTTTTTAAAGTGAACTACTCCTTTAATGACCCCCAAACTTTTGAACGGTAACAATAATAACAATAATTTGTATTATTAATAAATTATCAAATAAACTTACATATGCTAATGTGATGTAATGCTAGAATTTTGTTTAACTACTTTTTTGTGCACAAACATTCAACATGAGCTGTAGAATTGCTTTCCTGCTCTTCAAAAAAAAGTTCACTTTAACATGAAAACCTGTGCTTCACTTAGTGTTATTGTTGTGAGACTGAATGTGTGGTTACTGGTGTAATCTGAGATATTGTGTGTGGTGTCGTCTCTTACCGCGGTAAGGAGTTGTATTGCCTCTGGGCTTGAGTAAAAGAGTCCTCCCTCTGTTTCTGCATTTGCACCTCCACAGAAACCGAATGCCGCCCCGTCGGTGTGTAAGAGCCTGTGTTGGCCTGAAATGGGAATAAACACTCCTGTTACACACAAATAGTGTAACGAATCTTAAAACATTGCTTTTTGTGTTCACATAGCAGAAGGAAAGTCATATTGAACAAGATACAGCATCATTTCAGATTTCATGCTCAGGTATAGGGGTTTAATAATGGATGATCACTACCGAACACAAGGTGCACTAATGAGAAGCGTGACTACCACACCCGATAGCAATTAGCCTCGAGTGCACTTGTGCTTCAAATGGCTGACTTCGCAGAAATAACAAATGCTGCATTAATGCAGAGAGGCGGACGTTTAAACGATTCATAAGACGAAGTTATGGGGGAAAACAGGAGTATTAAACATTATGGCGATGGTTTTACAACATCCTGGAGAATCAGGCAATTTTATCCATGTCTGATGAACATCTCCAGTGAGACACAATTTAATAGCTAAAGGCCCAGGAACATTTCTTCATTTGCAACATATTAAGCCAAAAACAGAGAAAAGGAAATGCTTTTATTGTGAGCTACAAGCAACAATGATGTAATTATTCACAGTGAGATGTTTTAATGAGATTTGGACTGAGAAGACACTGAAGCAAGTAAAAATCAGGGGTGTGAGAGAGAACGTGTGTGTCTACACACTATAAATATGGTTGTCAATCCTCCTCTTTACACACACGGTTTGGAAATTCATTGAATTCCCATACAATGAATAGAAATTCAAGTTGTGACAACCAGTATTAGAAATTAAAAGGGCTAATAATTCAGCGTCAGTGGCATATTGACCTGTATAATGCCATTTTTAACCACATTTAGTCAATTGATCTCAAACACTTTCAATGAATCTTATATTCCAGCTTTTAACTAAAAGTTAAAAACCAATCGCAAAACACAATGAACTTAAATGGCAGTTCAGAATAACATCATTACACTGCATCTAGAACCTGATTTTTTTTTTAAAGTTCATCAGTTCAATGCTTATAAAAACATGAAAGCATGACATATCCAGATCTCTCTCATTATTCACACAAAATTTTCGGACACAGAGCAGACAACAATACGAAACCCACCTGAACAAACACAAAAAGTGGCCTGATAGAGAGAGACGAGACGTAATTATAAAAATTGTCCACAGCAGTTCAGAGCAAGAAAGCATGACACAGCTGGATGGAGAGTAGAGGTAGCTTGCTGGACCCAGACTTCAAAATCACGTATAATCGTTACGATTACAGCGCGGCGTGACCCGTAGCCTTTAATATCAAAGACTGGTACGGCTCGCGGTGTAAGGGGGGTCAGAGTACACACATGCTCCATGTGCAACAATATTTACTGCGCTATACACTCAACCACTTCCAGAAACCCGCTCCGACATATGGATTTAATTTGGAAACTGATGCACTTTACTGGGTGAGTGCGAGAAAATAGAGATAAAGAAAGGATAGAAAGCAGAAGTCTGAAGGAAAATTAGTGTGTCATTCTGCAAAAATGTATCATTATTAGCAAGTTATGACAACACTGAGGTGTCTGTCTTATGTTAAAGGACAGTACAATAGAGAATGTGAAAGTGACAACAGCTATAGACAGACTCATCATTCCTCTCATCCCTTAGAAACTCACTTTTCTGCTCGAGTGCTTGTACACTAGGAAAGGTTTATCTATATCATTTAGTGCCAGAGTGCTCTAGCAGCCACTCAGATCACCTTAACAGCATCACAGCTTAACAATGCACTGAAAACAATACAAATGACGATCCAAAACACCCTGGCATGGCGACACTGGTAACTCAGATAATACCTTGCAACATTTTAGAAACCTCCCAGAACACCTTGGTAACAACACACTAAAACACTCATATAACCACCTAGCAAGAACTCAAATGCATTTCAAAGGACCCAAGCAACTACATAGTAAAAACACAGAGAACACCCTAATATTAACCTAACAACACCATAGAAACCCCAAAACTGCATAGCAACTCACTAAAAACCACCCAGCAACACCTTAGAAACCTTTTCAGAAGATGCTGGAAACACATTAAAACACACAGAACACCATAATAACTATAGCAACGCCTGAAGAAGACCACATGAACCACATAGTGACATTAAAAACTCAATACCTCCTTAATAACCAGCTAACAACACCTTAGAAACATCCCAGAAGGCATTAGCAACTGCATTGCAACACACTAAAACAGCCAGGACACCCTAATAACTACCTGACAACACCTTAGAAACATCACAGACGACATAGCAACACACTAAAACAGCCAGGACACCCAATTAACTACCTGACAACACCTTAGAAACGTCACAGAAGGCATAGCAACACAGTACAACAGCCAGGACACCCAATTAACTACCTGACAACACCTTAGAAACGTCACAGAAGGCATAGCAACACAGTACAACAGCCAGGACACCCAATTAACTACCTGACAACACCTTAGAAACATCACAGAAGGCATAGCAACACACTAAAACAGCCAGGACACCCAATTAACTACCTGACAACACCTTAGAAACGTCATAGAAGGCATTAGCAACTGCATTGCAACACACTAAAACAGCCAGGACTCCATAATAACTACCTGACAACACCCTAGAAATGTCACAGAAGGCATAGCAACGCACTAAAACAGCCAGGACACCCAATTAACTACCTGACAACACCTTAGAAACATCACAGAAGGCATAGCAACACACTAAAATAGTCAGGACACCCTAATAAGTACCTGACATCACCTTAGAAATGTCACAGAAGGCATTAGCAACTGCATAGCAACAGACTAAAACAGTCAGGACACCCTAATATCTACCTGACAACACCTTAGAAATGTCACAGAAGGCATTAGCAACTGCATAGCAACACACAAAAACAGGACACCCTAACTACCAAACAACACCATAGAAACATCACAGAAGGCATAGCAACACATTAAAACAGTCAGGACACCGTAATAAGTACCTGACATCACCTTAGAAATGTCACAGAAGGCATTAGCAACTGCATAGCAACAGACTAAAACAGTCAGGACACCCTAATATCTACCTGACAACACCTTAGAAACGTCACAGAAGTCATTAGCAACTGCATAGCAACACACAAAAACAGGACACCCTAACTACCTAACAACACCATAGAAACATCCCAAAAGGAATAGAAACACCCTAAAACAGCCAGGACACCATAATAACTACCTGACAACACCTTAGAAACATCACAGGAGATGCTGGCAACTGCATAAAAACATGTTTAAACACACAAAACACTCTAAAAATGACCTAGCAACAAAACCACACCAACTGCATAGTAACATATTAAAAACTCAAGAACATCTTAATAACCACCTAAAAGCACCTTAAAAACCTCCCAGAAGATATTACTAATTACATACAAATACACTAAAACACCACAATAACTACAGTATAACAGTTTAGAACTGCTATGTACTGTTATAACAGTTTAAAAAATGTCATAAAATGTCCCTTGGTGTCTCTCAGACCCTAAACATGGGTTGAACGTGTATTGCACCAGGATCTGAGTTCAGTTCAGAACAGAGAGTCCCCACATCCCCTGTAGGCAATCTCGGTTTTATCATCTAGCTCTAAATCTACTGAACGTGGAGGGATATAAAAGAGAAGAAAGGCAATCCACGAATATTTCACAGGGGGGACACTAATCTCTAACCTGGAGTGTAGTTATCTATCCACTGTAGGCTCATTATCATGTAGTACTCTTCTTTTCGCCTACATGCAGCAAATGTTCATTGAGCTTACAGTATGTTCCTGCAGTGCTGATTCAAGAGTCGAGAGATAACCTCATCTAAACATTGGCCGCAGCGGGTCGGCTGGGTTTTCTGATTCCATTTCGGTTTCCCGTGCGGTTTATAATCAAAGAAAACATGCTGGTTCCTCTGAATCCTGAAATCAATGGCATTCTTTCGAGTCACGAATTGCTTGCCAGCACCGAGGTCCTTGTAAAAGAGGGGGAAAGGACACAAACACGGGCCTAATTTGTGCGTGTGTGTGTGATCTATGCACCGGCATAATACTTCCGTCCCTTGTGTGGTCTGATCGTCTTAACAAAAGATTGATGTTTATTGGTTGAGACGGGCCGGCAAGCCTCTGGAAAGAACATGCTCTTTATGACAAACATCTGGAAAAGCCCCTTTCAAAGTCATAGCGAAAAACGCTGGGCGTGATATACAAGGGAGGCATAACAAGACACGTCTAATTGTCTATTTACCGGTGGAGGTCTGTGACAGGTTCTGGCCATGGGGCGATTATCGGCGATCTGGGATGGCAGCTCGTCGCCACACATAAAAACCTGATGACGGGTTTCTTTCAGTCCTCGGGGGATTGTGAACACACCTTAATCACTGTCCTAATGTGCGTCTCATGCTGTCAGAACTCACGCTGGGTTTGAAGGATTATCTGGGGTGTACTTAGCCATTTTTCTTCATAAAGAAATGAGCGGCGTTTGATGTGTAGTTGGGAGTTTTGCCACATAGCTACATATTTAAAAGGCAATCAATCATTGTTTCATGGCACTTTGATTTTATGTTGCACTTGAGGGACATTTCTGAATGGTGTAAGGCACGGTATTTATAATCAAAGCTATAAATAACAACCAAGAGACTTTGTAACTAGGTGCTCACAAGTAAAAATGGTAATTAGTTGAGTGCTTTTCATATGAATATAATAAATCTTACTGCAAATACAGTGGGGACACCATGGTATGATGATGATTGAAATATATACCATGACGATACTCAATGATAATCATATATATCATGGTATTTAGAATGCACTCTAATGGTACTTATAATAATAATTCAGAATACCACTTGTAAAATAAATCAAACAAACAGACAGTACTACTATGGATGAGATCATTTTTTCAAAGCATGCTATCTTAAAAAAACAAAAAAACAACAGTATTTAAATATTTTGCATTTAGGAAGGCATGGATGTGCGTGTGTTTTACTGTATATTATCTACTACACAAACAAGCATATATTTAAAATGTCAGAGCCCATGTCAAAAATCCAATGGTATCCCAAAGGGGGGAAAAAGGCCATGGTGATGCATGGTAATTGGTAATTCAATGCTCCTTTTATAAAAATGTCTCATTCCTCATCTTGAAGTTTTCACTGTTACATCAGTGCACCAAAACTAATTTTGGATGCTCTCAGAGGAACATGTGACTTTGTTTTGACAGTTTTATATCGTCATTATATCAAGCTTATGGCAGTAGGATCAACAAGACTGTTATGGCTACAAACGCCTCCCTTGCACTCTCTTATACTGCTTAACCATTACTCTCTCGACCTGCCGCTACGACTGACGACTGTATATTTCTACAAGTCAACAGGACCACAGTGCTCAGACCTTAAATCAACGTCAAACCTGTTTGTATTCGCTTTGATTGAGTGTATGAAACACCTGGACCAACTGATTCCTTGTGATGTGAAAACTTAGCATTACACTGTTGTTAGTAGAACCGTAACCACATTAAACAGTGAAGGGGACTCACCTTTACATTTAATCTTGAATACTTGGTTACATCCTAAATGCCTGGTTCAGATTACACGATTTTAGCCCGATTTTGGCACGATCCATTTGACTTAGGGTGTCTCGGGGATTCGTAAACGACAACGGGCGTTGGGACGCAAGATTCAATCGTATCATCTCGTATAGTGTGTCATAGTGGGCGACAACCTACGTCGCGTCTGCGACACTTCACGGCATCACGACAAAAAGACTAGCATGTTTAATTTTTTTAACGGTCGTCCACGACGGTTCCGTCACATGTATGAGGTTGACCAATAGGAGCACAATCTTTTCTGTACACAACTTTCAAAAAAGGCGAAACGAAAGAGAGACGATGGTGCTAACGTTAAAACTAAAAGTAGAAATATATAAGAAAACAACATTTTACCTCAAATTCTCGTTGGAGGATTGACAGCCCATACTGTCCAGGAACGTGTCCATTGTTGGGTTTTCTTTCTTTTTTTTATTTTTTTCTGAACACAGGACAGCCGATACAACACTCACCGCTTCATCCATTGTTTGTTTACGTTCGTTTCCGGAAGTCACTCGCTACTAGTTTCGCCTTCTCGATGACGTCACACGCCTCGTTAAAGACGGCATGCGATGACTGGTCAGGAAGTAATGTGTAGTCTGACATGTTTCTCGTCCACGAGAAATCAAATCACGTAATCTGACACAGTGACTATCGTAACAGACAAAAATAATTGTGTAATCTGAACCAGGCATAACACACCCCTCAGCTGACACAATTGTTTATGTCAATAGGATAGGATCCTGTAGACCAGCGTGACATACAGTACTGAACCTCAGTCTGAGAAATTTTGCCACCTTTTTTAGAGCTGGAGAGACTTTTCCCATGCAAAAAACATATCCTTCACACAACCTGGGTACTGCAACAGTGCCAACCACATGTAGAAAATGTCTAAACCGCAGACTTCAGGAAATTCACCCTTGTTATAATACCCTGAAAGACTCAAAGGCATTCCCTGGTTCCCACCTAGAACGTTTTTTTTTTTTAAATGTCTTTTTTTAAATGACATTTTTTAAATGGAAAAAAATGTCTCTAGTCTTTTAGCAATGAAAACTATAACAAGCAATTAAGCACCTTCCAGCTTGACTCCTCTAGTTCGGTGCTGTGCAAACAACAGTGCTTTTACTTCCTGTACTAGAAGCCCCAGACACTGTGACACCATTAAGTACCAAGAGAGACCGTATTATATGTATCCCCATAAATGGGACATAAGTTATGTCCTTTTGACTTAACTGTCATCAAGTAGATCTATTCATTAAATATCTTTCATTAGCAGTGATAAAAACCCATACACTTACTCTTTGTGTGTAAGAGAGATACAACCCCTTTCTACAGACCAGTTTAATAGAGCCTAGGAAGGAGGCGCTTAAGACTTGGGCCAGTAAAACAACCACCTTATAACCACACAGAACAACCTAGATATCAACCATAACACCCTGCAACATCCAGAATGCCCTAGCAACTACATAGCAATACCTTGGCAACAACCCACAAGAAGTAGTGTGTCAGCGAAATTTCCAAGGACAAGCACCACTCGCGTTTCAGAAAATGTAAAATTCTAGATTTTCTACTCTTCCATTTGGTACCACAAGTACCAAATAAATAACACACTTCACCTTTGAGCAAGTGCATTTTCATTATGCATCCATCATTAATCTTTAAGGTAAGTGTCTGAGATGCTGAATTTTATATATTTTTTGCTTCTGCTCTCTGCACTGATCTGAGTGAAACAGAACATTAATGCATTAATTGAGTTTAACGCATTCTAATCTCTGTAGAGCTATTCAAGACCTGGAAGGAAAATGGAGGCCAAATATGTGTCGGAGAGGACAGGGTCAGAGAGCTGACCTCTAATTTAGGAAATGGTTCCATTCCTTGGGGTAATTAGCCTGTCATCTTTTAAAATCCCCTCCGTGCCTTTAACAGGAAGTCACAAGACAGACCGCCATGTCCATTACAGAGCAAAGATACACAGCTATTTGACCTTTCACCCCTTACAATTCCATTCCCAGCCTCTTGAGCAGTGTATATTATTTTAACTTGCTGATAAAGATAAAATAATGGCTAGCCTCTGAGGACAAAATGTTAAAACACATTCACCTTTGTGCAGACCTAACAAATACAGGCAAGGTTGGGGGCAAATAAACAGTGAGATGCATTTTTGAAAGAAGATAAAATAAAATCTAAAAAAAACAAATGCTCCTCAGAACAAACACCACTCATGTGATCTCTGACAATATCTCATTATAATACATGTTGCCCTGAACACCAAGCACCAGGCTTTTTGCACTCACCCTCTGTTGCTGTTGAAAGCTGTAGGATCGACGGCGGTCATCAGGTTCCTCCTCGTGCTTGGTCTGCTGGAACTCTTGCCGTAGCCGGTGTATCCGGTCATGGTTGCTAGGCGCCAGTCTGTTGCTATAGAGGAGAGAAGAAGAAAAAAAAAGATCACATATCCTCATTTATGACATAACCAGTGGTCCAGACATCAACCTGAGAAGAACAATGACCAGATGGTACACTCCAGATGATATCAGCTTGAATAAAACATACAAGACAGTACAGTACAGCATGTTTCCTGATAAGAACACAGCTTGTTTCCTAAATCAATAGCATAAGCACCATTTGAGCCCATGTGCCCCTATCCATTTTGCTAAATTACACGTACGGACACAGTCCATTACTTTTTCCACATTTGGCTTGTGCTTGCCGGCATCTTGAGAACACGAAACGGACCAAACGTTTCCGTGAAGGACTCCCCAGTGAACCATGGCCAATGATACATGTCCCTCTTACGACGGGGAGTCAAAGGCCCACATCTCAGCCCAGCTCCCCATTCGAGAACTCCGAGAGACTCGTTTGCATTCCTTTCATTAAGAGCTGGGGAAAGTGACCGTCAATGGGAATCAATATGCCTTGTCCCCCTAATCAAGCCCCGCTTTTTATCTACTCCACCACACGGGCTGCTGGTGACAAACGCCTCATTATGATACAACATCCTGTCTGACAAATACGTCTCATTTATACAGAGGAGAACTAAGGAAGGAGATTCTCAAAAAGGGGGAGTCAATGAAAGCACAAAGAGGTAAATCATTAAGCTTGCAACAATATGGAGAACCCAGCAATATAAGGACAGGATACAGATTTACCAAGATGTCATCTCTGTGTGGTGCTGATACAGGTGGTTGACGCTGATGGCTTACTTAAGATGAGATGTCTGGCCTAAATGTACTCATAATTGTAGATCACAAGCAGGAACAGCCCACTGACTGAAATGGCCACTCCGACACATTGCCAATCAACCTTCATTAAAACTAGCGCTAAATGGCCTTCCATAAAAACCAAATGGAGCCGAATGAGAATCGTATGAGTGGTGATGACTGAACATCCTTGTCCTGTTGTTGCATGAAGCCATTAGAATCAATTGTATTAGCTTTACTTCATTTAACCCCCCATTCCAATATTCATATGTGATGGAGGAAGAGCTAGAGGGCCATCAAATGCATTTGCAAGGCGGTGAAAATAGGAGTGTTTTAAATTAAGCGAATCATTGAGCCGTATGCCGTGTGCATTTGGTTTTGCAAATACAGGCAGGTAATCTACTCGCCGTTTCAAGCATCGAATCCTATATGTGTCCATTTAAAATAGTGTTCCCACCATTGCCAAGCATAATAATCCACTAAAACAGGCACAGGAAAGGATTTCAAAGCTATTTTTAAAAGTGAGATATTATCAATATGAGAGTTTTGGGCCAAACGGAAGGCTGAATTTTTAAATATATACCATTTGATAAGTTATCACAAAATGTGGAAAGTGCATTATCTTTATCCACTGACATTTGCTGACATTTTAGCAAAAATAAAAACCTGAAAAACTGCTGTACTCAAAGAAACGTCAAGCGGCTTCGAGGGTGATTGAAGCTAGGGATGATAAAGTTGGAGGTAACTGTATGCGAGACATGCAATCTTTGCACTGTAGTATGTTTCAAGTAATATTACAGTGTGTGTGAACAGATTACACTGCAAGGATCATAGACATCTGTAGACTTTTGATGACCACTCTCATGCAGACAAAGCAGTCAAAGCCTGAGAAAAAATAAACAAATCGCTCGGCCATTACTGCACATCTGCGAGGGGAAATTCATTTGGCCATTAGCTCCTGTAAACGTGTGATTACACATTAGCATCGGGTGGCAATGTGCCTAGCGTCTATGTTTGCGGCATGAGGGCCGCTAACAAGCTTTGAGCAGAACATAGAAAATTGGCAAACAAAGCTTTGACCGAGAGAACAAGAGAATAGAGATCTGCAAATGAACATGCTCTGGTCTTATTCATGACATGAAGGAAATCTAATAATGATGCAAACTATCGGCAGTATCATGTACCAGGGATGGCCAACATCAAAGAGTTAGCCATATGATTGGATTAAAAGGGGACAGTCTTGACACTAAACCATCACTCCACACGCCTATTAAGGTCCTTGTTGTATGTATTGCCATCTTCATACATTAGCAGATGGACAGAGAAGGTGCATTAGCTTAATCTCCCTGTCTAGAAACGCCCTTCCTCTGACTCCAAAACAAACAGTAGAGATTTGGTCGTTAAAGCCTAAGGAAGACCCTGTAAAAGTTAAAGTGACCATAAGCTGAGTCATTGAGCCTGGTAACCAGCTGAGGCTTGAGCTCAAACTAGTAAACAAACCAAACAACCGACCTTCATCCAAAATCCAATGACCTTCCATTGTCATTGAAGAGATCAATTTAGAAAATGAAAAGTGAACAGCCACAGATGTGGACAAGACCACTCTCTATGTCATAGGGACACCAGGAAATTACAAAATTGACAGACAAAAATGAAAATGATCTACTCATGAAATGGGGTTCAACATATGTGCCTCGATTAGATCAACAGGAGAACTTTCATAAGCAGCATTTCAATTACAATTGGTCTTTTTGGACCAGTGTTGTGTACTTGAGACTTGGACTCGGTCTCGAGATCATATTTTAATGGTCTCGGTCTTGTCATGGACTCGTGTGCATTTCACTCGGAACTCGCGTATTCGAATATATTAGGACTCTGACTCATTCCTGAGTTCACTCGAGTCCCATTCAAAATATGTCATGATTATTACTGTATGTTAATATTTCTTTAAATTTCTGTTTGATTGATACGTCCAATGATTGCTGACTTTCTTGTGCGCAACTGACTATAACGACTACAACTATAACGTTTGCAGCACGGAAATGCAGTAGGACCCAGGTCGGATGTGATGTGGAGCCTCTAGCTCAACTATGTATTGAAAATGTCTACCTTATCATCCATAATTCAGTTTGCATATAAGAGCCACACATAATTTGTGTTCAGTAATGTTATGTGAAAGAGCACTTACTGATTGTAATAACTGTAAGTCATAATTGTAATAAAATTACCTTTACATCACTATATGGCCTTTTTACCATGACAGTGTACATGATTCCATGGTATATTTGGTTTACTTTTTGAGTATGGTGTCAATTTTATTGTTACCACCAAATATTTTACATATTCTTGAAGATATCTTGAAGATGTCTGGTTTCAGACCCAACCTTAGGTTATCCAGCCACTCTGGTCTCGGTCTCGTCTCGGACTCGACTCTCTCTGTTCTCGGTCTTGACTCGGACTCGACTCTCTTTGATCTCGGTCTCGTCTCGGACTCGACTCTCTTTGGTCTCGGTCTCGACTTGGACTCGACTCTCTTTGATCTCGGTCTCATCTCGGACTCGACTCTCTTTGGTCTCGGTCTCGACTCGGACTCGACTCTCTTTGGTCTCGGTCTTGACTCGGACTCGACTCTCTTTGATCTCTGTCTCGTCTCGGACTCGACTCTTTTTGGTCTCGGTCTCGTCTCGGACTCGACTCTCTTTGGTCTCGGTCTCGACTCGGACTCGACTCTCTTTGTTCTCTGTCTTGACTCGGACTCATCTCTCTTTGGTCTCGGTCTCGACTCGGACTCGACTCTCTTTGGTCTCGGTCTTGACTCGGACTCGACTCTCTTTGGTCTCGGTCTCGACTCGGACTCGACTCTCTTTGGTCTCGGTCTCGACTCGGACTCGACTCTCTCTGGTCTCGGTCTCGACTCGACTCTCTTTGGTCTCGGTCTCGTCTCGGACTCGACTCTCTCTGGTCTCGGACGGTCTTGACTCGGACTCGACTCTCTCTGTTCTCGGTCTCGACTCGGACTCGACTCTCTTTGATCTCGGTCTCGTCTCGGACTTGACTCTCTTTGGTCTCGGTCTCGACTCGGACTCGACTCTCTTTGGTCTCGGTCTTGACTCGGACTCGACTCTCTTTGATCTCGGTCTCGTCTCGGACTCGACTCTCTTTGGTCTCGGTCTCGTCTCGGACTCGACTCTCTTTGGTCTCGGTCTCGTCTCGGACTCGACTCTCTTTGGTCTCGGTCTCGACTCGGACTCGACTCTCTTTGGTCTCAGTCTCGCCTCGGACTCGACCGTCTATGGTCACTGTCTCGACTTGGACTCGAGTGAGCTGGTCTCGACTACAACACTGCTTTGGACAATAGGTTATGAAATTCCCTCCCCCCTTGAAATTAGTAGTTGGAATCGTAAAAGAGTGCCCATGTGCGTTAAGTGCTGGCGGCCACCCATCTCATTTACTCTCCCTATTCAATCTTCCTTTAGAAAAGAAGACAAATCTTTCTATCTGTTCACTGGAGTCCATGAATACTCCAACATCACTGCACATGATTAGACTCTGCACGCGGTTGACATCAGGTGTAGTGAGGGTTATAAATACCTATGGGCATGCATCATTGTCAGCCACAGGGCCCGGCTAAACAAGACCTCACAAAGACCTGCAGCAATTTGCGTCAATAAAGCAGGGACAATTAGAACAAATGCACCCATAAGCCAAACAACGGAGGTGGGTGAGGAGGCGGCGGAGTATGAGGGGAGGATGATGAGGGATCGCTTTCCCCAGCCTCTTGTTTATGCATCAGATTAAAGGTCAGGCGGTATGCAACCTGAAGCCAGCTTAAAGGACGAGCCTGTGTTGTTTGAGAGATAGCGTTCAGGGCTGGAGACGTCTTCATGTTTATTTTCGTCTCTCCTCCCCAAAGACAGATTCAAGGGGAAAACGGTCTGACAGTAACGCAATTAAAGGCAAAGAAAGATAAAATATCCATATGCCACACCATTTAACAAGCCATCAGTTTCATTCTCCCAATACAATGAAACTCATTCAATATCCGTCTGTGTTCTCTGACTGAAAGGTCAGTTTGCGATTGTCCGCACCCCGTTTGCTCTACCCTTCCCCCTCCTTTTCTTGTTCGTTGTATTCTATCATTTTCTACGCACACCCTTTCCCGCTCAGGACTCTTTCTCAATATGCTGAATAACACCTTTTGCCTGCTTACTTTACGCC